AAGGGTGTGCTTCCACAGCTAGACTTAACATTACAGATGGACTTCATCTTTTATTAAGCAAAATACAAAGACTATAAAAGGAGTCACTTCAGCATTGTGGAAGATGGTGTATGAATTATGAATACTGTAGTGGCTTTAGCTTGGTTGCTTTGTGTTCGCATTTGAACAAGTAGAGCGTTAAAACTCTACACTCTAATTACAAGATTTTCTCTCTCATCTCCTGAGTCAGCGACCTAATAAAGGAGAGTTCCTTTGCCCATTCTCATACGCTGAACTTGTGGCATCTAAGTTGGGAGTAAATCTACAACAACTTGGTTGACTTCAATGGGGTTTGCTGTGTTGGTGTTGCACTTAATTAAAGTTAATGCAACAGAAAGACACAGACCGTAGAAGTTATTTTAACCAAGGCTTGAATGTGGCACTAAGAGCTTTTAGCATTTCATTTATAAATTGCCCTTGGTTATACTGTGCCAGAGGATTCACTATTTTTAATAACAAAACAAAAATACACTCCCGTCAGAGGAGTAAGGTTACTTGACAGTACTAGTCACTACAACCACTGAAGAGAATATGGAGCTCTCTGTCGATTGCTCATTTTTAATGAGGTTTATACTTTGTTTAATTATTTGGGGTAAGTTGTTATCCTTAAAAATATCCCTGAGTACAGTTGTGTATATGAAATAACTTTATTGTTCTCTGCTGGATCCTGGTGCTCACAGTTGGCCAACTGTGGATCAGATATTTGAGTTTCTCGAAGGTACATGCTTTTTTGGATAGATTTAGAATTATGGAACTTATACCAGCGTTCAAGTGTCTAAAAATTTGAACACAATCACCTGGGCTTTTTTGAGGCAGGATTCATGTTTGCAAGAATCTCCTGGATCTTGTATGCAATGGGCTTCTTAATGTTTTTCAAATTCAAATAAAAGAGCAGGCAAACCTCTGAGAGGGGCAAAGGTTTAGGGTGTGTCACCACAGCATCGAAATTGCCAAAGGCTGATGCTGAGAAGTCTCAGAAGGTGCTGTCTGTAATCAGTGTCTTCTGTTCAGGCTTCTGAGAGAAACTTTGAGACTAATGTAGCAGACGAGCTCCTGGCAAATGAAAACACTGGACATGAGCTTGCTGAATTTTCAGGAACTGATGAAGAATAAAGCAGCTTCTAAAAAGAAGTTCCAATAACACTTTTGCAGTTTCTTTTGTTCCTTTAGTTCTGTGTATGTGTTCAGGATGTAATTCTTTTGCTAATTGTGAACTTAAGGCTGAAAACCAGCTGTAAATCGTTTCCTAAATACAAGAAGCTTATTACTTTCCAGTTGCTTGATAATATAATTAACTGAAATATAATATTTTTGTTTACTTCTTTTTTTCCCTCCCAAGCAGTCCTGATAGGTATATTTGTGTTTAAAAACTTCCTTACTGAATGCTCTCTTGTGGTTTCTCAGGTGGCTTTTCCAAGGCACGAATGAGTTGCTCTCTGAATGCTAGCAGATACCTTTGCTCTCTTTGTGGCCTTGGTTGCCCTCCTAGAAATCACCAGTGCTTGTTTCTCCTTGGAGACTTTACAGTTGTTCAAGAGATCCCCAGTCTGCTCTGTGCATCTCATACAGTTGTAACCTAGTTTTGTAGTCCTGGGGTTGTAGTGGTGAGAATATAATGCACAGTTACTCTTCCATCTGTGAATATGGACACTGTGGGGAAAATTATTTCCACTTGCTTGGCAAGCTAAGGTATCTTCTGCTTTTGCACTCGTAATGAAGAATCAAGACTGCTTGTTTCTGATCCCAGGGAGGGAATGAGAAGTCATGCTCCCGCAGTTTGTAACTCTGCTCAAAGTCCATTGAACAGTGACCAAAACTCAGAGTAAATAAACCTCTGATGCCTGTAACTGAAACCTCAATTCACCTTTTTATTTTAAGTGGTTTGTGATTAAATAGACAGGTATTGTTTCTTAGAACTATAGAATCGTTTGGTTGGAAAAGACCTTTGAGGTCATTAAGTCCAACTGTGCCTGTCCACTACTAAACCAGATCTCTGAGCAATCTCTACTCTCGAGAGGATTTGGTTTTCTGTCAATTGCATGTGATACCCATGTCTGTCTTCAGAGTCTGGTAGTTTCTGTGCCAGGTATGGTGTGGGTGGTAAAGATGCCCTTTAGCAGGCGAAGTCTCTCACTTCTCCATCCTTTGCCATCTGTTGACATCTGCTAACTGTCTGCCAGCCTCCTCAAATTGAACACAGAAGTCAAGACACAGATAAAAAGTGATAAATGTGATTTTGTCAGTTAACAAATGCAAGGACATCAAAAGTGTGTGCCCATTAGCTAGTAGTGCTTCAGAGTTTCATAGCAAGGTGGAGTGCCTGATTGCATGGTCTTGTCTCTGGAAATGTGAGTTCAGAGTCAATCAACTTGCTGTTTGCTTTTACTGCTGCTCGCTTTTCGGGTGGTTTCTTTATATTCTGGATTGTTTTGCTTTGGACCCTTTCAAGGAGGACGTGCAAGGCCATTACCCACTTGCGTTGCCTGTACCGCACAACCTGTGAGTAGGTTTTGTGGTAGGATTAGTGCATGTTAGTGCACACCTGATGTACTTACCAAGCTGCTCTCCATGACACTGGCAAAGTCATGGCAGTCAGGTGAAGTCTCTGGTGACTGGAAAAAGGGAAACATTGCACCCATATTTAAAAAGGGTAGAAAAGAGGATCCTGGGAACTACCAGCCTGTCAGCCTCACCTCTGTGCCTGGGAACATCATGGAACAGAACCCTCTAGAAGCTGTGCTAAGGCACATGGAGGACAGGGAGGTGATTTGAGACAGCCAGCATGGCTTCACCAAGGGCAAGTCCTGCCTGAGCAACCTAGTGGCCTTCTGTGATGGAGTGACTGCATCAGTGGACAAAGGAGGAGCTACAAATGTCATCTCTCTGGACTTCACTGCAGGCCTTTCACTACAACATCCTTCTGTCTAAATCGGAGAGGTATGGTTATGATGTAAGAACTGCTCAGTGGATGTGGATGGTCACATCCAGAGGATGGTGGTCAACAGCTCAATGTCTAGATGGAGATCAGTGACAAGTTGTTACCTCAGGGGCCCATTCTGGGACCAGTGCTGTTTAATATCTTAATCAGTGACATGGACAGTGGGATCAAGTGCACCCTCAGCAAGTCTGCTGATGACATCAAGCTGAGTGATGTGGTTGATGTACCTGAGGGATGGGATGCCATCCAGAGGGACATGGACAAGCTCGAGAAGTGGGTCTGTGTGAACCTCATGAGGTTGAACAAGGCCAAGCACAAGGTCCTGCACGTGGGTTGGGGCAACCCCCCGGTATCAATACAAGCTGGGGCATGAAGGGATTGGGAGCAGCCCTGCAGAGAAGGACTTGGGGTACTGGTGGATGAAAAGCTGGACATGAGCTGCCAATGTGTCCTTGCAGCCCAGAAGGTCAAGTCTGTCCTAGGCTGCCTCAAAAGAAGTGTGGCCAACAGGTTGAGGGAGGGGATTCTCCCCCTCTACTCTGTTCTGGTGAGAACCCACCTGGAGTGCTGTGTCCAGCTCTGGG